CGATCCCATCGACAGCTGAGTACCTACATGTGTAAACGAGGCAGCCGCTTGTAGCAGCACCAGTTACTCCTTACAGAGAACAAGGCGATCCCCCCAATTCTCAAGTGCCCGCACATCGCTGCAAGGCAACGGCCGTGCGGGCACAGCAGCAACGATCTCCGATCTCCAGGAGCCATAATCGACAGCTGGCGCACAGCAGGGGGCGCCCGGCATCGTTGGTTTGACTTTGCGTCGACCGGGGTCAGCGTGCAGGTGGGGAGGTGCGGAGGTCGGGGGTAGGGGCGGCTTGGTGCCCAAAGATCTTCGTCTGTGGCGGCACGATTTAGATTCAACTTGAGTTCGGCAGCACTTAGTCCATTTGACGCCAAGTACAGCTGGCGGTCAACATGACAGCAGGGCGGGAAACTCGTTCCCGCCAGAAACGAAAAAGCCAGTAATTTGACACTGACCTGTGGGATTCGGGGTTGTGAAGAAGGCTCTCGCCCTTGCTGCCCTACAAAGCGACTGAGGGGATGAAAAGACCTGCATGCCCCACTTGTCAAAAGTTGTTCAACGACTTCAGGCACCTGGGACGCCACACAACCGCAGGTTGCTGGGGTTTGCTCAAGAAGCCAAGGCACGCTGATGCTTTCGTCACCAATCAACCCAGCCCAGAGTATGGAGCCCATCCACTAGGTGAAAGCAAGGAGGTAATATAGTGATAATATGGTCGTGCTCATGCTTCTATGGTGTCGATTATATCTGGCAAATTCATTGGCATCGGACATCCAGCCCTGATTTACAAGTTCCATGGGATTAACATCCGTTGCGAATCAGTGCATCAAACCTGAAATTTCCACCCACTGGCCACAACCGCCCTAATAGGTGTGACAATGCTATGTTGCTTTGGGGTTTGTCAACAGGCGATGTACCTGAATGTGAAGTGCTCCAAGACGATTTGGAAAACATTCCACCAAAGCTGCCTCAACTCACACCGCTGCAGCCCCGGCAGTTTGCCAACACCTGCAAAAAAGCATTCAACTCTCTTCGTGAGATCGTGGCATTCGGCCTGGAGGAACTATCAGAGCAAGGGATTGACAGATTGCTGAAAATTATGTCCCATCCCGACTTCGTGCTGTCGGATGTGGTAAACATTGTTAAAAACAAGGCCACTTTCTTCGAGTATGTCGCTGAACAACCCCACCTGGTAAGTTCATGTGTTTCTTGTTCATTATGGTGGAATGCAATTCTGTTTGCCATGTGCGATACAGAGCCCTGGTTCAGCCCACATAGGCAGGCTTGTACCGTTGCAACTTCAGGAAGATTGGTACTCTGCAATGGTTTACACTCCAAAGGAGCAGCAATGTTCAGTGTGGAAACATGCACTAGCGTTCCTGAGGGCGCAGAGGCAAGTGCTTGCGTAGCTGGATCATGCTATATCAATAAACACTAGTGCTGATAGGGTGCTTGTGCTCAGACCATGAGCCAGAATTATATACCAAAGTTTGCGCATTTTCTGTTCTGCTCACACCTTCCGCCCCACCCTTACCCGTGCAGAAATTTCAAGAGAAGATCTTGACACAGCCAGGCGATGGGCAGGATATCAAGTTCCTTTTCAAACCCATCCTACCAGCCATTCGGGAGCTGTTTGCCAACATGGCCCCAGGGTACCACCTGCACCCAAAGACACAACACAACAGTCAAGGCGAAAGAGTTTATATTGGTCTCGAGACTGGCGAGTGGTGGGAACGAGCTCAGGTGGGGTACAGATTGATTGGCTGCTGCATGCATGAACGTACGGAGGCTTGAGTCATGCAGTCACCAAATATTGATAAAATGTTTTGGGCCCATAACCACAATTGTCGCCTGCCTTTGCAGACTAGTGTCCCTCCTGGTGGTGTCATCGTCCCTATCATACTCTACAGCGATAGCACTGATCTAGATGACACGCACACCACCAAAGGCCATCCATTGGTGATGACGATTGGCAATTTGCGCCCGGAGGCACAACACCAGCACGAGGGGCATGTGCTACTGGGCTACTTCCCCATCGTGCAAGAAAACCATACCCTTTATGGTGACTCATTTCGACGAAGGAAGAGGCAAGTGATGCAAGAGTGTTTGCAGATGGCGTTGGGCGACCTCAAGGAAGCAGGGCAAATGTGAGCATGGGCAAAGGTTATGACTTTGAATTGAATTGTAGCGCTTCTCCACACCTGTCTGTTGTCGACTGCACTCACAATTTATATCATATGCCATTAGGAACTTCAATGTTTCCCATTTTGTTCTTGTGACTCACAAGACATGTTGCTGACACAAATGCTGTTTCCAAAGCGGTATACTGCTGCAGGACCCTACAGGCCAAGCACATATGTGCTACCCAACGCTATGCATCTTCATCGCAGATCTGTTGGAAGCAGCAGACATCTGTTGTGTACGAACCAACTGGAAGAGTGAACACCCATGCATCTCGTGTATGGTTCCATGCTGCAAACAGCAAGACGTGGGGACCAAATTTCCACCCCGCAAAGAGAAAAATATGATTGAGGTCTTCAGGAGGGCCGAAAATGCTTGTGATGCTGCAACTGCCAACCGCATCTGCAAGGAAAAATCCATCCATCTACAGAAGGTGACTTGCCCTACTTTAATAATTACAACACACACATGTACACATGGACCTGTCGGCACACTTTCGCATTTGCCCTGTTACTCACCAAGAAACCCACAACTGCTGTGCACATTGGCCCCGATGCACCACAAGAGATGTTGGTTTGCATCATTTTCGCCCGCAGACATGTGTAGAGCACAGCTCGTTCAGGAGCTCCACAGGATTCCATAGCATTAGGCACAACAGATCTAGTGAATGCAAGAACCTGCCAAACATTGAACATACCTCAGTATACCAGTGAAGCACACAACAACTCTATTTGCCCCACATGCAATGCTACATGTTTTGCAAAGGTTCTGCCAACTTAAGCACACCCATCATTGCCTATATTCATCCATTCTAGCGTTGTGCACTCTCTACATCCAAAAGTCCTGTGTGTTATTGGTAGGTTGCTCTTTGGGGCTTCCCACGAGCCGATGTCTACCAGTTGTTCCCACCTGAGCGGCAACACCAAGCAGACATTGGTTTGTCAAAGTATATGCTACAATGGATGGACCTATATTTTGTTGAACATGCATCCACCTCGGTAGCAGCACTCCGGGCACGAGTGGACAGCAGGCTGGCCACCATCGGCTATTACCCAGGTCTCCAGTTGCAGAAGACCCGCAGTTCAACAGAGATGTGTACTTCGATGAAGCGTAGGCACCTCATGCAGGTGTTGCCATATTGCATGATGTCCTTGTTGCAACGGCCACTGCATATGAGCACAGAAGCAACCAAGAGACTTCTGCAAGTCTTCGTTTGTAAGTATCACAGCCTCTGCCCTAGGTATTCAACATACAATGCACTTGTCAGCCAGAACGAGGTGGTGTTAATAAACACATGTGTTCTTGGTAGTCTGCTGCTCATATGGAATGATTCACTGAGCAAGCAAGTTCCTTGGCACTAAGGTACGGGCAATGCATGCATACCACCCACACTACAGCCTCAACACATCCTTATTTCAGATATTAATGCATGCAACTGATGGTGGCATTGTTGCTTCTGAAACAATTTGCACATCCAACAATGTGGATGTGTGGTTTAGTGTATGCAGAATGGGAGCTGGAAAGGGACAGAGAAGTGAGTGGTGAAAAGGACATCCGTGCATTGGAGGCCCTTGGCGCACGGTACGATTTCTGCTGTTGATGATGGCAATGTTGTTTGTTCGGATCATGTGCACGCACGCTAATGCAGATGCACAGCAATTTGCACTCTGCCAAGTTGCTACAAATTAGAGCATTCCACAGCCCAGCCTTCCATTCTATGCTGATTATTGTGTTTGCAGATTTGTTTGCAAGGTCCAACAGGTGTTCAAGAATACCAGGGATGACCTCAATTTCCCCAAGATGCACGCTGTGTCACACTACGGGGGCGCCATCAGGGCATTTGGGCACACAAGGCTATATGAGACAACACCATATGAGAGGCTCCACATACCATATTGCAAGAAGCCATACAGGGCATCCAACAAGCAGGCCAGGACACTGGGTAGACAGGTGTGCAAATTTCGACCACCAAGGTGAATCCTTGGATGGGCACTTAATCTGGCCACACCTTTTCGCTCACTGCAGCCTTCTTGCAAGCAATTGTTGACAGCTGTACCTGCATATGCAGATGGCAAAGAAGGTCACAGCAAGATTGATTGCACAACGGCTGCGAACATCAACTACTGGAGACACAGGTCTACAGGGCATGGTAAACCACTTTAGTCCTATCAGCAGAACGCAATGTTTAACTGTACATTATTTTATTAACCACAACAATACTGTTGGCACCAAACATGTCAAGGATATTCAACAAGAAGCATCTTAACCACGGCAATGCTGTTGGCAACAAACATGTTCATGATATTCCACAGAAAGCAACGAAGACCCTGCCTTTGGGCAGGCAATTCACACAAGCGATGGTGAAGTGCACCATGATGGCATTCGCTTAAAAGTTAGTTGCCACTACATATTCCCAACTAGTTGCCATTCCATATTGCCAAATAGTTGCCACTACGTATTCCTTGATGTGCAGGTGCAAAAGGCGGAAGCAGACTGCACAAACAAGCTGCCATCCAAGCATGCTGGTGTCCTCTACTACACATGGTTGACAAAAAATTCAGGTACCTACATCGTGCTATACTAGGCTGCAAAGGTTAGTGACGAAATGGGGCCTGAAAGTGACATTTGGTTGCAGCGTGCCTGCTGTGTAGGATATATACTGGGCAGAATTGGTAACATTCTTGTGTGCATATGGCTGGCTGCATCAGGAGACCCCCACACCCAGTTGCTGCTGAGGCAGCAACCTGAGTTGCAACATTTCGAGGCAGTATTGGCTAGCTACTTCCAGGTGTCTTCTGGCTCCATTCCTGTTGTAGGACAAAAGGTGAGCAAGGCTGTAGGAGCAGAAAGGCAAACCCACACATCAAAATACAATGTGTCATTGGATATCTGTCGTATTTGCTGTAGCTACTGTACACTATGTTGTGCAAATTCTTGCATTAGAATTGTGGCACCCACTTAATTGGATGCTAAAATGCCACATCTTGTGTTTTGTTTTGCAGGTGCATCGCTACAACTCTTGCACAATATACTCACCAAGCATTCTGCAAGACACACGGCAAGCACATGCCCGTCATGAATACCATGGCAAGAGTGAAGTTTATTCCGATGTTGCCATTATTGGCTGCAACGAGGATGGGGAGGGTTTGGTTGAGTGGTATGCGCAAGTTCGAATGTTTTTTTCTTGCTTGGGGTTGGAAGGGACAGAACACAAGTTGGCCTTTGTCCGTTGGTATGATACTGCTGGCAGAGCACCCACTCCACTTGAGGCGTCCACATACCTACAATGGCATCGTGGGACTGGGCATGAGGATGGCCCACAGTGCTATGGAATATTGGATGTCAACCTGATAGATAGGATTGTATTGGTCCATGCTGACCCTTGCAAGAAAGAGCGCTTTTTCCTTAATAGATACTTGCGTGTATCATGACTACAGTGGGGCACTGCGTCTTTTCGTTTTCAACTTTCCTTAATTGTAATTGCGCAGTTTCCATTTTGAGTTGAAATGTGCCATCCATAACACACAGCACACCGGCTTGGGCTTTGGGGAGCGACTGACGCCTGGACAGCCACCTAGACACTTGTGAGGCGGTAAAGGCCATTGCAGTAGCGAGGAAGTGCACTTTGCCGACCTCCTATGTTTTCTAGCGCAGCACTCAGTGGAAGTACGGGTTGCTGCAAAACTAGTCCCGATTGGAGCCAGCGTGGCTCTTGAGTGACTATGGACGTTTATTTGGGGGGACAATTCACATTCCACAGGAACACCGACACGATTTTAGTGCTTTACTGCATTTGAAGGCTCAGCATCCGTTGACGATGTGAAAAGCTGAACATAGTAGGATCGTGCATCATGCGGTCGCATTTGCGCATTAGGTCGCAATTGCAGGATGTGATAGGTCGGCCCTGCCATCCTGCGGTGATGTGACAGCACGGTGTGTACCCATGTGGTCCTGTATTTACAAATGTGATCGCAGCTTGGAATATGCGCACGTAATCAAAACAAGCGAGGCGGCCAGGACGGCCATCGTTGCATGCCTGAAGCATACGACGTGCACACATCTCATGGTATCACAGGCTATGTCCGCACAAACATGCCAACACACGTGCCTACTGTTCGTGCACTATTGTTGAGTGTTGCATATTGTCCTAGTAATATTATGTGATTGAAGTAAACAATATTATGTATAGTTTTAGGGGTGCCGAGGAGCGGGGTGGGGGCGTGGGGTGTGTGGGGGGAGGTGCCAATTTCTTCGCCCATTGGGCGTCAAGCGCACCCAAGTCAAACACAGTCCATTCCTCTAAAAAACGGCCCCCATTGAACATTGGAAAGAAACCTGAAATGATGAGACAGGGAACAATTCCCATTTATGCTCCATGGTGACCATAATCGGGGGTGATAGGCCTAAGATATTGGTATCCAGCTGCTTGAACCGATGTACGATGGGACATAAGGTAACTTGATGAGCAGCTGTGAAGTTGCAAGGAACGGCTAGTGACTGGAGTCCAGGCAGGGATTCGTTCAACAACTCGTCATGAACCAACAGCCCCGTAGTTTTCGTACATTGAGCTGAGGTTTAGAGGCGCCACTTCCAGCTCAGCGGGGACAGGGCGTGTCAACATTCGTCGACCGCGCGTGTCAACTGTCAGTGGCCGTTCGCGCCAAAACTCGTTGACCGCGGGCGCCAATATCTGTCGCCCGTGCTTCGAAACAAGTCGACTCGCTGACTTGAAACCGAGCTAAACTCTGAGACGCGATCAAGCCCGAGCGGGTCTTCACACAGAAGGGATCCCCTGCTAAAGCAGCTGCTGCCGCACACACTATTACCCATGCCACCCAACCACGCAGATGTTCCTCTGCATGCCACCAGGGATCGTGGCGTCAACAAGTCAAACCGGAATGGCAGGCAGAGCACACGGCCGGCCGCCAGTCGCGCTGGCCGTCGGGCACTATTCAGTACCAATAATACTCAACCAAGCTTGGCTGCGGCGTCGGGGGAAGGGGAAGGGTCGGGTGGGTCAGGCGAGTTGTCAAGGGAAGATGCAGTGGAGAAGGCCGTACAGGGTCTTCCTGATGCTGTCAAGGACTCATCCTTGCCAGTGCATCGACACAGAACGACGTTGATTGGTCGGATTCCACCGATCTGCGAGGTGGGTTGCATTACATATTCAACATGCTGGAACTGTCCTGGCAGTTGCATTGACATAAGTTATGTGAACACAGCTGTCTGAACAGTTTCATCCCAGAGTGCATTGTGTCCCTAGTGCATGCATTTAATTGCATTTGTTATTGCAGTTTCCACATAATGTGTCAACCTTGATCTGTGCGTACCTGGTGACTTGTCTTGATGTGCAGACGCCGATCACGTTCACAAGAGGATGGAAGGTCTGCTTTTGGGCATGTTCATCACTTCACGGCAGGATGCAGCGAAAGCAGAGCGCCACAGGGAACTTGCACGGATTTCTCAACAGAAATTCCAAGCAGAGATGTTGGAACGGCTGGATAGGGTAGGAATGCCATCACCTGTGCAACAATGTCCAATGCCTTCACATGTCCATCCAAATGTCCGATTTGCAGTTCCCCTCATACATGGACAACACAATTCAACCCAGTTTTGCCACTTCGTTGCAGATCATTACGGCACAAGCTGAAGCTGCCAATGCTACCTTGAATGATGCAGTCTTCAACGTGAGATTGCCTGAAGCTCTGTCCTGAGGATGGTTCACCTGCGTGGACAGTAAATCCAAGATGCATCACCACATTCTCGACAGCACGCACCACATGCATAATGATGAGCTTTGGAATCGTGACATGCAAACTTCTTTTCAAGGGTTGCTGCATGATGCAAATGGCATGTGCTGCAATTAGTTCTACAACCACACTACAATGCAACATTGCTTGCTGAACTGCTTGCACTGCATGCAATGATGGATAGAACGATTATTAGGTTGCTTACAGCCAGAGACAATTCTGTACTCTGATGGCAATCAGTTCTCCAGTTGAGGACTTATTTCACAATGGTGTCAATGTTTTGCTTCACAGCGACAAACAGAAGATGCCAGAGATCGCCTTCTTGCAGAGATCCCCTACCCGGTCGATGGCAATGTGAAGGAGTTGGTAAGAACAGTCTTTTGCAATGCCTTGGCTCATCACAGAAGGGTGAATAAGGTTGCCATTCTTGGACAGCGTACAGCTCCAAACCCTGTTACATTTAGGGTGCAAAATGTCATGCAGAGCAATCCAAACCCAAAAACAAGAACACAAAGTCCTTGAGCAGATCTGTCCGATAACAATCGCCTTAGGATGATAATGCACATCCAAGATTGGCAATTGTGTACAAGGAAGGTGTGGATGCAAAAAGCACTTTGCATGCTGGTATGTCAGGAGTGTAGTGGGGTGGGTTGAGTTATTTCTGGCCAAGGGAGTACATTGAATGCTTCACAAATTCCTCTTTTTTTCTTGGCAGTTGTCAAAATTCGTTGAGTTTGCTGACAACCAAGGAGGGAGGCTGCGCTGGATTGACGTTGAACGAAAAATGAGGCCCGCCCAGATTCAAAAATGGACAGCGATGGTGTCGAAGTGCAAGAAGCTTTTCTCCACGGCTCGTGGAAAAATAACTAGCGGTGTTTGGCAAGCAATGCACAACTGGCAGCCCAGAATTTTTGAGTCTGAAGAGACCCTGATCTTGACTGCAGAAGGGGAGCACTTGCGGCAAGGTAAGAGTACACAACTTCATATTGTTTATATATCATTTACCCTACACGGCATATATGGTACATGTACGCTTCTGTGCTCGTTGTTGAATCAGATATATGTGTGGGACATCAATGCACACAAGGCCAACAACACGAAAAGATTCAACCCATCTAATCGCATCATCTTGTGTGTGTTGTGTACAGATGCGAAGTATCGAGCACATAAAGTGCAATTGGATCATTACCCATACTGCGAGATAGACTCCTGTGGCGCCAAGTTTTTCAAGTTTGTCTGCAACGAGGCGATTCCCGCAAAATTCTGGAGGTATGAGCAGCAAGAGGGAGAGGATGAGACGTCTATCCAAGATGGTGATCTGCCAACACGCATTACCCGCGGCCTTGCAGCTTTGGTGATGACAGTCATCGAAGCCGCCTTTGATGGTACACGCCTTGGAAGCTGCAGTGACATGGAGATTCAGCAAAGATACTACGATTGCTTTGAGCGTATTAGCCGCACAAACTCTTCCTTGTTTGACACCCGTCGCACCCTTAACAGCCCACCATTGACCCCTAGTGGCAACACGCCATGATGGTCCAGCCATCTCCTAATGGACAGATTCTGGGTTTGGCAGATTTGTTGTGGGGTGTGTGTTCTATGACAGTGGTGAAGTGGTGTGTCAGGCCAGTTGTGCCTATTTTTTGGTTGGGCAGTACAATCTGGACTTCAAGTTTAGGTCCAATATTTGTGCAATTTTTTTGTGTGGTTGTTCACTGGCCCAGTTGCGCATCATTGGTGCGTCATCAGCATGAGCAAGTGTAGCCACTGGACAAGTTGCTCACCTCAAACTCATTGAACAGTCTCCTCCACTATCCGAAGAGGTGCCTGCTGGGTATTTTCTGCTGCAACAGTCATCTCATCTCTGTTCATGTGCTGCTTCATGGAGCTGCCATTCTTAAGAACATAGACCACTCTACGCAGCAGCCCTGCCGCAGTGCACTTCTCCAGGAACATCCACAATCGTGAATGACTGGTCTCCCTTTCCTCCAGTGCTCCTGGCATTGAACGCCAGCTCTGTACTAAGCTCGTGTATTCCTGGGCAACCACCAACAAGATTAGCATTGTGTCTTCCAAAACTGGCAAGACAACCCCTTTTGCTCTGTTGTGATAGGTTGAATCAATTTCTGACAGGAGAAGCAAAAGCCGACACAAGGTTGGCATCTGGAACGTGTGCTGCGGTGTTATACAGTCACGCATGCAGCCAGCATCGTGTCGGCACAGAGACACTGCAACACCGAACTACAGTAGAATGCTCGCGTTGCCAGCATAACGTGCATTTCCTCCTGGTGCACCACTGCCCAAGATCAACCATATTCACAATATTTTATCCATCAGTGTGTCTGATGGAATGATTCTGTGTTACTACTGTTATTGGTTGAACCTTGCATTAATTTCGAGTGAACAATCTAACATGGAAATACCTGAATGCAGTGTTCATGAACATGCAGTGAACAACTGCAAATACGATCAGCTGTCAACAGTGGGTGTGGGCGCAGAGGAATTCCCAGCTGGAGATCCTGGCAAGCCATCACAGCAAAATCACGCCTTGTGACTGACAGACAAATTGCATGTTGGCTTTCTGTGGGTTGCATTGCAAACTCAAGCCACACTGCAATATGACAAAACAGCAATGGACTTCACCTAGTTACAGTGTTTGCTTCTGTAGCCAGGTTTCACAACTGTGTCATGCTCACATCAAGCAATCGGCAAGGGCAGCATCAATATGCAAAACCAGCTCGACGCAGCAGCCCTACCGCGGTGCACTTCTCCAGGAATATCTACAATCGTGAATGACTAGTCTCCCTGTCCTCCAGTGCTCCTGGCATTGAACGCCAGCTCTGTACTGAGCTCGTGTATTCCTGGGCAACCACCAACAAGATTAGCATTGTGTCTTTCAAAACTGGCGAGACAACCCCTTGTGCTCTGTTGTGAATGGTTGAATCAGTTTCTGACAGGAGAAGCAGAAGCCGACACAAGGTTGGCATCTGGAGCAGGCGCTGCGGTCTTATACACTCACGCATGCAGCCAGCATCGTGTTGGCACAGACAAACTGCAACACCAGACTACAGAAGAATGCTCGCGGTGCCAGCATAACGTGCATTTCCTCCTGGTGCACCACTGCCCAAGATCAACCATATTCACAATATTTTATCCATCAGTGTGTCTGATGGAATGATTCTGTGTTACTACTGTTATTGGTTGAGCCTTGCATTAATTTCGAGTGAACAATCTAACATGGAAATACTTGAATGCAGTGTTCATGAACATGCAGTGAACAACTGCAAATACGATCAGCTGTCAACAGTGGGTGTGGGCGCAGAGGAATTCCCAGCTGGAGATACTGGCAAGCCATCACAGAAAATCACGCCTTGTGACTGACAGACAAATTGCATGCTGGCTTTCTGTGGGTTGCATTGCAAACTCAAGCCACAGTGCAATATGACAAAACAGCAATGGTCTTCACCTAGTTACAGTGTTTGCTTCTGTAGCCAGGTTTCACAACTGTGTCATGCTCACATCAAGCAATCGGCAAGGGCGGCATCAATATGCAAGCCAGCTCTATCCAACGAAGCAAGGATGCTGTACCCACTAAACAGCTGAATGTAGTCAGAGCACCAGGGGTGTGCGTGCAGCAAGCGGCCGATGCGTTGCTCAGGCTGCGTCCCTGAAGTTGTTCCTTGTTCACCAAGGCACAGCACCCCATGCCCTCTTGAACAACGTCTCAAAAGGTGGACAGGCTCATACCTCCCTAAGGACGGGACCGTTGCTTGATCTGTCGAATACGGTGCAAAATTCTGGAGCAGAAGCCGGCATCATTGGCCCCTCACCTTGACCACTCCATACTTGTTTTGGTTGTCGAATATCGAAGGTTGCAGTCACCGATGGCAGTCGCTGGGATCAATCCCAGCGAATCCTTGTCTCTGGGGTCGATGCAGTGTGCGCCAGCCATCACCCAGCGCCCATCTATCAGGATCGATGAGCGACACCATTGGCGAGACGCGGTTGCAGTCACCGATGGCAGTCGCTGGGATCTATCCCAGCGAATCCTTGTCTCTGGGGTCGATGCAGTATGCGCCAGTCAGCACCCAGCGCCGATCTATCAGGATCGATCAGCTACACCATTGGCGAGACGCGGTCAGGTGCGGGGGGGGGCGGGCGTACCTGTACCAAGGGGCTGGTCCTCCTAGGAACGGGTCAACAAAACGGCGAAAAGTCAATGCACAACACCCGACGACGCACATCGAACAGCCACAGGTCAATTGGTCCGCCACCCATCGTATCTCGCCACGGTGTCCGTGGAGCGAACGCTCCAGCCCTCGGGCCGGTACCAAGAGCGCGGGGTCTTACAGCAGAGCGGAAAGGGCGGGGTTGTCCAGCAACGTTGCTGAGCCTTTCTGAAACAAGCATCCCGTCAACGTTGCTGGCATCCAACCGTTTCAGAAGCGTTGATGGCGATTGATCGTTTGCACATTGACGCAACGTTGATGTGATGGGTCTCACAGCAACGCTGACGGCAACCACACCGTTGCGGTAGCATTGCTGGCAAGTTGTTCCAGCAGCGTTGCGGAACGAGAGCGTTGCTGGCATGTTGCTGGACAGGCACCCCGTCAAGGCTGCATCCGATTGATGCAATAACCTCGACGCATCAAGGCCCATCAACGTTGCTGCAACACCATCCCAATTTCCGGATGAACTTGTGAATTGCAAAAACGCCGAGTGTGCCGCTGCGCTCTGCGCTGCCCTCAGCCATTCCCAGCCCACCCGCACGCCCAGCATCCCCACGCACCTCCTGCTCCGCCATGCACGCATGTCGTGTGTGTTGGGGCGGACGTCCCGGAGGCCTGTTCTCCTGGAAACGGGGCAACAAAATGGCAAAAGCCACCGCACAACAGCCGAGGCCGAAAATCGAACAGCTACAACTTAATTCGTATCTCACCCAGCAGTCCTCGCCACTGTGTCCGTGAAGCGAACACTCGAGCCCTTGGGCCAGCACCAAGAGCGGGGGGTCTTCCAGCAGAGCAGAAAGAGTGGGGCTTTCCGTCAACGTTGTTGCGCCTTTCAGAAACACGCATCGTGTCAACGTTGCTGGCAACCCAGGGTTCCAGAAACATTGACAACAACTGATCGTCTGCATGTTGACGCAACTTGGATGTGGGAGGTCTCACAGCAACGCTGTTGGCAACCTCACCGTTGTTGTAACATTGCCAGGGAGGTGTTCCAGCAGCGTTGACGAACGAGAGCGTTGCTGGCACGCTGATGCGTAGGCCCTGCATCAACGCTGAATATGATTGACGCAAGGTCACATTACCATCAAGGCCCGTCAACGTTGCTGTAACTCCATCCCAATTTCCGGATGACGCTGGTTGATGGGATGGCTGAAGTGCCTAAAGTCAGTGCGTGTAACAAATTATTTAACGAGCGGATCATGACACACCGTGGTTGTGGGTCCCTGCACATTCCCCCACGTCACCCCCCTTCAGAGCGCCTGCCAGGGAGGCGAAAATCTTGCGGCTGCATTTGTCGAATGTGATTGTGTCACTTGCATCAATTTGGGCGCTGATGGATGTGCATGCCGCCACGACATTTGCTCCTTAGATTGTAATTGTCCCCTGCTCCATAGAACCAACAAGGAAACTGCGAAAGCAGGTAGATTCAATTGGAAATGTCCGTGCACAACATACCATATTGCCGGGGTGTCAGACGTTCCGTTGATCGCTGGGACGACTGAACGGGAATAGGTAGTGTGTGGTACAGGGATTTGACATGGAATTGTAATAAGATTGGAAGGAAAACACGCGGGCGACATGGGGGCGCGGTTCTGATCAGGAGTGCAGAGCATGTGAATGGGGATTATGTGAGAGACGCACTGAAAAGACAAAACGTCGTATACGACATTAATTCTGTAATAAAAAGACGTTGGGGATGCTGCATGGCAGATCTCCGAAGGCCCCTACATGTGTGTGTGTGTGTGTGTGTGTGTGTGTGTGTGTGAGACCCCCTCTCGGTGCCCGCAAACCCGAGAGCCAGCTATTTTCGGGTGTGTGATGCCCCCCATTGGACTGAAAGCACGTTAACAGAGTTCTGAGGCTGCGTGGACCGATCGCGGATATGCAGTTGCTGTGTGGAGCCTTGCGAACACCCTGCCTGGGCTGCCAAAACGGGGGTGTCAGATGCTGGGTGCAGAAGGATTCTGTGTGGAAGGATGCTGGGATTCCTCAGTGCTGCCATGACAGACGGCGGAGATTACGCATTGCTGAATGTTGGCGCGCAGATTGCGCTTGCATGCGTGGCTGCGGTGGCAAAGGCGGTTCTTTTCGTTGGCAGATGCGTGGGTTGTTTGGGCGGATTCATGGTAATGCTGGTGGATTTCCTGGGCAAGATGCTCAGAATCGAAAGTCTCAGAACGGATCATCAAACGTGTCCAAGTCGTTTATCACTTCGTTAGTGTCACGTACATTGTGAATGTTAGCGCTGCTTCTGCGCGATGGGGCGATTCCTGCAGCAGAGCTGCTCAGTGCCTCACTCGTGCCTAGCGTTCTTGCTTTGGGTCGTTGATTGCCAGATTGCCGATTCGATTTGATTGATGGTTGACCGCCAACGTTGTCTTTCTTCATCCCACCTTGCACCATGAGACTTTCTGCCATGGCCTGTGTCCCTTTGGGGGATAAAATCGATGGGCATTGGCACCATTCTGGCTCAAATATAGTACCATATCGCTTGCTTAGGCCTTCAAGGCCTTACAAATCCCCATGTTGTGCATTCTGTAGCAACCACTGGCCCTTTCGCTGAGGT